ATGAGACCTTGGGCGTAGTCAAATACATCAATCGAAAGAGTTTGATCTCCTGAGTGTAAAATTGTAATTAGATCTCAAATCGGTCAGGAGATGACGGAGCTATGAGCTAAAAGTTTGTACTTGGGGGAACAAATACTCGGAGCTGTTCTATGAGCCGATATGCCGCAGCTAAAAAAAAAGCTGCGCGAATAATTTTCCAGTAGATTTATAGATCAATGAAGATAATAATAATAAAAGTGAAATCAATAACTCAGAAAAGTAGAGAAGGCAACAATGTGATACTAGATACGATTCAGGATCAACTAGATGGCGTCATAACAATGAAAGAATTAATTGATATTTTTACAACAATGAAACATTTACATTCTAATTGTTATAACAATGAATATATTTATTTTACCTTTACAACAATGCAACATATATTTTATTTGTTATAACAATACAAACTTTATTTTATCTAATTGACTTTTGATAAAGTCGAACAATAAAACTCAAACATCACATGGTAATTAAAATAATAATTATTATATAATTTTAGTGTTAGCTCTTCGTATATTTTACTGTGTATTTTATATCCATCTTTATTTATTTTTTACAGGCAGATATAAAAGGGTAGTTATGAAAACTAGAATAAAAATTATGAAATACTATGCAGGATTCGTGTTTTATTATTTCAAGATTGGTTATAACTGGATTCAACTTCTAATGTGCGTGTGTGTAAGACACATTACACATAAATAGTCTGGTAACGCCATCTAGGATCTCGCCATCTTTCGGAGGTATTCATGAATAGCTAAAATAACTAGTCAAGTAAATTAATCTATTTTCATTGTTGTTATTAAAACTGCATGGTCTTTTGAGACAGCCCTAAGCACGCGGTTTGTCTGCGTGTATTCAAAGTCAGTATTTCGATTTTTAATAAGTAGTACAGTTAACAAGTACAAGCACATACACGAGATACAAACTATAGAGATTCTAAAGGTTCAATGTAGAGATTTTCTTTAGTGAAAACTAGATACAAACTATAGTGAAAACTAGATACAAACTATAGAGAAAACTAGATACAAACTATAGAGATTCTAAAGGTTCAATGTAGAGATTTTCTTTAGTGAAAACTAGATACAAACTATAGAGAAAACTAGATACAAACTATAGAGATTCTAAAGGTTCAATGTAGAGATTTTCTTTAGTGAAAACTAGATACAAACTATAGAGAAAACTAGATACAAACTATAGAGATTCTAAAGGTTCAATGTAGTAGATTTTCTTTAGATAAAACTAGATACAAACTATAGAGAAAACTAGATACAAACTATAGAGATTCTAAAGGTTCAATGTAGAGATTTTCTTTAGATAAAACTAGATACAAACTATAGAGAAAACTAGATACAAACTATAGAGATTCTAAAGGTTCAGTTTAGAAATTTTCTTTAGTGAAAACTAGATACAAACTATAGTGAAAACTAGATACAAACTATAGAGATTCTAAAGGTTCAGTGTAGAGATTTTCTTTAGATAAAACTAGATACAAACTATAGAGAAAACTAGATACAAACTATAGAGATTCTAACGGTTCTTCCGTTTAAAGATTTTTAATAATTCAGAAGTCAAAAACAGAAATCAGACACAAGCTTACGTTGATCCTACACACGTATTAAAACAAGATTTGGTGGATTACATACAGTATAATGTTTTATTCTTTCCTTCCGATATTTTCTGTGAACAAATAAAAGAGTCTGAGAAACTGCACGCAAAAATCTGGTTTTTCATTATTAATTTTCATGTAGTATTACATTTCCTCGCTAGGGAAAAAATAATCTAGCTACTGGTACACGAAACCTTCGAAGAATCGAAATGGAACGCTTAATTAACAAATTTTCCGTCAAATGCAATAAGAAACTCTTTTTCAGGTAATAAAAAACTGAAACCTATTCTGAAAAACATGGATATACGAAATTATGTAGTCAAATCTCATTGCACTATTCTTTAAAATCACTTAATTCTCAAGGCTTTAAAAAAAAAAGCAGCTCGATATCATGAATGTTTCAGTTCCTCGACTGAATTTATACTCCGCAAAAAAAAACATATTTGTAACATTTTAATTTTTCTATTATTTTTTTTTCAACTTTAAACAATAAATACTTCGCTGACAAGTAGACTTATGGAATAATTTACTCTTTGTTTTCAGGAAGCATTACGTGCAGGTCCAGAGACGAGAGGAAGGGTTCGAGAGTAGAGTGACATGGGAAAAAGATCTGCCACCTATCAAAACGGTACAGTTTCAAGGGTTTTGGATCCCAGTTTACTTGGTGATTTTAATTTTTTTGTTTAATTTCTCAACAAATACAAAAATATGCTACGTTGATATTTTGTATTTCGAATAATGGCTTCACATTTATAGTGAAAATCACCAGGGTCACCTCTTTCAGTTATAGTCACCAGGGTCACTTCCTTCATGGGACCAAACAAGTTAATGTCACCAGGGTCACTTCCTTCATGGGACCAAACAAGTTAAAGTCAACATGGTCACCTCCTTCATGGGACCAAACAAGTTAAAATCACCAGGGTCACCTCCTTCATGGGACCAAACAAGTTAAAGTCACCATGGTCACCTCCTTCATGGGACCAAACAAGTTATATTCACAAGGGTCACTTTTTTAATGAGACAGCAGTAAATCTGAAGGTTTATAACGATAAAACTTGAAAGGGTGAAGTTCTGGACTCGTATGGCGAAAACCTCTGACCATAAGTCCTCAACTAATGACTTGCTCGAGCAGAGTGAGGGCATGCATTGTTATTTTGGAGAATAAAACACTCATCTTTGTCGTTATTCCCAATTATTTTGGTTTGTTCTGAATTTCCCGCAAAGCTACACGAGGGCTACCTGCGCCAGCCGTCCCTAATTTAGCAGTGATAGACTAGAAGGAAGACAGCTAGTCAAAAACACCCCCTGCCAACTCTAGGGCTACTCTTTTACCAAGAAATAGTGGGATTGACCGTACATTATAGTGCCCCGACGGCTGAAAGGCCTAGCATGTTCGGTAACTGAGGTCGTTTTTTGAAGTTTTTTTTTTTTTCTGGTGGCTAGTTTCAAATGTTCCCGCAAAGGGCTGTTCTTGACTACATGAAATGAACCTGGTAAATTTGTTTCACATTCTAGATAGCGCAGTTCTTCCTGGTTAATAGTTTGTGGTGCCTTCTTCATTATCATACTTCTATTTTTCGCTTTGTTTTGCTATTTATTTAACATTATTAAGACGTTTCAAGGAATATATTAACTTCTTGATCTACAAACCGGAGAATGCGTTCCTGTAGAAAAATAAACAAGTCGGAAAATAAGAAACGCGTCATTTTAGACAGACCTTCTAAACGCACGAAGATATTTGACACGCGGACAAAAGTATCGTTATTACGCTATCTACCGAATATTTATATTGCTATGAATAAATACATGTATATCGTTAGATTTATATTTTATGCGTTCAGTATCATGATTACATGAGCACGCGATATAGCAATTACTTCCAAACTTTGAAAAAAGAGAAGAATCACGGAATAAAGTTCAGTGCAGTTACAAACACGCACTTTAAACGATAAAATATGGAAGAAAGTATTTCGCTATTGTCTAGTAATTAAGCAGTTCTTTGATCTTCGGAGTTTTGTCACTAGGTGACGCTGCTAAGAGAACTTACAACTTCGGGTGTTTGGATTTTTGCTTTGTTTTTCATTTTCTTGACTTAATTATACGTAGTGACTGAACATGCCTTGAGATGTTTATACTGGCTTTTGATTCTGATTAATGACGTGGGTATTTAACAATAAAGAATTATCTACGGTTGGAAGGATTAATGTGGGGAGCTGACTTATGCAGTGGTTATACTTAACGCAATAAGTTGACTTACGTAGAGTGATTAGAATTAACCCAGGAGTTGAGATATGCAGAGTGGTTAGGCTTAATAAGGTAAGTTCAGTTATGTTGAAGGATTAGGCTTAAGGTGGGGAATTAAATTATGTAGAGAATATTTCACCTTTTAATGGGGCATTGGATTATTCAGAGTGATTAGACGTAATATGGAATATTATGTAGAGTGGTTAAACTTGATGTGAGGAGTTAAGTTATGTAAAAGGGTTATTATTAACATGTAGAAGTTGATTACGTAGTGGTTAGGTTTAATGTAGGGAGATAGAATCTGTAGAATGGCTATAATTAATGTAGAAAACATAACAGTGTTTCAATTACGGGAGAGCTAAGCATACATGGCGTTGGTGGTATATAGTTGAAATTTGGGGGGTCTAGGTTGTTCATGTTAGGAGATTGAACAGCAGATATGGGTAATTTTTTAAAACGTAAAAACAAACGAGATATTTAATTCTGTAGGCCTAGATAGGTGACTTTCTATCGTAAGTTGTCATGGTAGGCCTAGATGGGTGAGTTCCTATCTTAAGTTGTCATGGTAGGCCTAGATAGGTGACTTTCTATCGTAAGTTGTCACGGTAAGCCTAGATGGGTGACTTTCTATCGTAAGTTGTCACGGTAGGCCTAGATGGATGACTTCCTATCTTAAGTTGTCATGGTAGCCCTAGATGGGTGACTTCCAATTTTAAGTTGTCACGGTAGGCATAGATAGGTGACTTCCTATCTTAAGTTGTCACAGTAAGCCTAGATGGGTGACTTCCTATCTTAAGTTGTCATGGTAAGCCTAAATAGGTGACTTTCTATAGTAAGTTGTCACGGTAGACCTAGATGGGTGACTTCCTATCATAAGTTGTCACAGACCCATCTAGGTCTAACAACTTACTATAGAAAGTCACCCATCTAGACCTACCATGACAACTTAAGATAGAAAGTCATAGGAAGTCACCCATCTAGGCCTACCGTGCCGTGACAACTTAAGACCCATCTAGGTCTATCTAGGCCTACCGTGACAACTTAAGATAGAAAGTCACCTATCTAGGTCTACCGTGATAACTTAAGATAGGAAGTCTAGGTGACTTTCTATCTTAAGTTTGAAAACTTGATTTATGTTGGTGTAGTGGCTCATTCAAGTCGATCCTGGAAAAGCATGTACCTGTAAATGTGTGAATGAGTACAAGGCAATTGGAGAAATTAGTTTCATCAGTGATGTTAGTGTACTAAAATTCATATGACATCTTGCTACATTCTCTGTTTTTTGGTGTCTGCACCAACTTACCTTCAGTCCTTCTAATGTCATCAAGCCAGCAGAGTTCTGCGTACTTCTTGCTCTTCTTCCACCGATTTTACCCATTAGAATCTATGGCAACCTTCCCTCAGATGTAATTATAGTGCATCTTCCGTTTCTTAAATATGACCAGCAGTTGTCTTTTTTTAGTCTTTGCACATTCAGTGCTATGGCTCTTAAAGAATATACTAACATTAGCATCCTCTTACAAGCGAACACCACGAGCATCGAGGCGATAACCATCCGACTTGATCTTCAATATACCACCCACGTCATCCAGATGTTCCAACTCCAGACTCCCGAAACAGGTATTTTTGTTTCCAGCTTACGCTCCTAAGGAGTGCTTCAAGGGTGTCCTCAAGACAAATGTGAAGAAATGCAACATCGACATCAACTCTTGGAGGACCGTCTAACGTGGAGGAGTCTGCTGCAAGGATCTCAGCATATTGAAACCATACGACGACAGCAGAAGATGGAAAAGAGGGAATGGTGTGTTGTGGGCCAGGTCCATACGACGACAGCAGAAGATGGAAAAGAGAGAATGGCGTGACGTGGGTCAGGACCACACGACGACAGCAGAAGATGGAAAAGAGGGAACGGCGTGTCGTGGGTCTGGACCATACGACGACAGCAGAAGATGGAAAAGAGGGAACGGCGTGACGTGGATCTGGACCATACGATGACAGCAGAAGATGGAAAAGAGGGAACGCCGTGTCGTGAGTCAGGACCATACGACGACAGCAGAAGATCGAAAAGAGGGAACGGCGTGACGTGGGTCAAGTTGACAATCTAGGACCACTCATTTCACTCAGAAACACCTGTCCAAGCTGCAATAGAGTCTATCGATCCAGGATTGTCATCATCAGCCATCTTTGGACCCATAGATAAGATCATTATTGAAGACTATCATTCTCAACTGCGAGGGATGGCCAGAGAGATAGACTAAAAACTGGACTGGACTTACACAAGGAAAGAGGAACCATCCGGGCGGGAAAATTTCGGAGCTATCACCAAAATAACATCTAGTCCACTACCTTGTAGAGCAGTATAGGTTTGTAGAAAGGGGTTTGAAACTTAACTTAGAGATATTGAAAACAACCACCATGCAGAGAAAACCTTCTTGTGTATATACTATGACATTTAAAACCTATCTATTTTTATACATACATATTGTCACAGTAAAAACCTATATATCTACCAATCTATTAGTATTAATATTTGAACATTTTCACATTGACAACCTGAATATATATTATTATTAACCGATAGCAATATTTAACTTAGTACAGTCAGATATTTTAATTACAACAACAACGTCAAAGAACCATCTATAACCTGTTACTTTCTGATGTCCGGAAATATTGGATGGTTACACGTGAAACCAAATATCGTAGACACAACAATTACTAAAATTTGATTGTTTGAACACGTTTCATAAGGTGTTACTAAGATTTGGTTGTTTGACCACAGGGGGAAGTGTTACTCAGAATTGTCTGTTTGACCACAGGAGTTGTTATTAAGATTTGGCGTTTAACAACAGAAGTTGTTACCAAGTCTTGGCTGTTTGACCATAGAGGGCCTGGCATGGCCAGGTGGTTAGGGCGCTTGACTCGTATTTTGCTAATCGCGGTTTCGAATCCCTGTCCCACCAAACATGCTCGCCCTTTCAGCCGTGGGGGGCGTTATAATGTGACGGTCAATCCCACTATTCGTTGGTAAAAGAGTATCCCAAGAATTTGCGGTGGGTGGTGATGACTAGCTCCCTTCCTTCAAGTCTTTCACTGCTAAATTAGGGACGGCTAGCGCATACAGCCCTCATGTAGATTTTCGCGAAATTCAAACAAACTCTTTGATCACAGGAGATGTTAATAAGATTTGGTTTTTAACGACATTTGGCTTAATTTGAAATAACTAAGCTGACGTCATGTGCTGCAAATCGTGTAAACTCAGTTTCCATGTTAATATAATAGAATCTGCTTGTTTTTTACTAGTAGACTTGACTTTGTGCTATTAAAACAACACAGTATTCAGTTTGAAATGTTTTGCCTGAAGTGAGTGTGTGTGTGTGTTCA